GGAATGGTGACATTTCTCTAGTCCATGCCTTTGCAGATGAGGGTTCATGACGTTATAACCCTTCATTTTTTTTTTATAAGAGGAGAATACCAACTTTGCTTGTTTTTGAGCAGGAAAGGTGATATATCTATCTCCAGGTCTTATTTTTGTAGATGACAAGTTGATGATGTTACAACCTCTCATTTCTTCCTTAAGAGAGGAAATACGAACTTGGTTGGGTTTTGAGCAGGAAAGGTGATATTTTTTTAGTTCTTCACCTTGTAGACAAAGGGCTTATAATATTACACCCCCTCATTTCTCCCTGGTGAGGAATACTAGCTTTGTTGGTTTTTGAGCAGGAGCGCTGACATTTCTCCAGTTATTGTAGATGAGGGGTTCATCATGTCACAGCCCCTCATTTTTAGTTTAAGATAAAATGGCGTTGGCATACTTCATATCAGTAAAATTATCACAGCTGCTAGATTTTTTTATAGCCACCCTGCACAGGTTTTTGTTTTCACAATATCTGGAAATGGCCTAGGAAGAGAAATGAGATAGAGCAGAGGTACATTAACAATGCAAGAGTTGCAGCCTTCACAAAGAAAGCATCACTGATAAGCCACACAGTCCCATTGTTTACATGGATTATAGTTCCTGCCTCTTTGGAAAGCTGTGGTCTACACTGCTAGATCCTTGGGATCTACTTTATGCTAATTCACTAAGGTAAGTCATTTAGGGACTATGATTAGATTTCCAGTGCAAAGGAGAACTTAGAATTTTTTAAAGTTTGGGTTTTCTCAATGATGTCAAAGGCACGACAGGTTCCTAACAACAATATCATCTGCTGCCTGTACACTTGGTTCTTTGAATATAATAAACATACACTTGGGCAAATCAGTGTTTACTCAGCTATTTAAATTCTATCCAATCTTTATTAGTTAGTATATACTTTAAGCAGATTTTAACGAGACAGGCATGTGCTGTACTTTATTGAAAGGTAGGAAAGGTCTAATGATTGAAGCACCATAAGGTACTACTTCACTTGCACATTAACTGAAGTGGAAACACATCTTATTCTAAAGGACCACCACAGTACCACAGAAAGTGTCCATTTTAAAAGTGCCAATTTTCGTTGTGAATAATTTTGTTGCATACAAACCAAAGTCTTAAGTCATATAAATTACTTTGTGCCATGCACTTTACAATTTCCATTAAAAACCCATGTACTTTCTACACCAAGTGTTTGAAACACATATTCTACAATCTAAGTATAGGTCTCTCAGGTTAGCTTTGTCTAACAGACTCATTGGACTGAACTGTGATATATACAGAAAAGACATGGATTTGCAAACTGAGTTAAGAGTGGTAAGTAGATTATATTTGTAGATATGATTTAGTGATACAATTGTAAGACATTATTTATGTATGGTTAGGAAAAAGAACAGTGTAAAAAAACCATCAAAGATTAAATTTGGTTTAAATTATTCTGAATCATGGTCACAGAAGAGACAATTTTTTTTTTATAATGTGGGATTCTCCAATAAACCATAGAAGATACTGGCAATACGATGTGAAAGAGTTAATAAATCTTCATTGTGTTAGTTTAAAAAACTTTTAATTTTCCTAGTCACTACATAATATGACTTATCCACAGATGTTGGTTTTGATGTCTGGCAGAAAACAGCCTTACCTCTAGGTTCTGTGCTCTTTCTTTTCGAAGAGGAGCAAACATAACAGGCAGTCCGTGGTCACTAGCTAAGGACCGAAGGTCAAAATAGTATTTTGCATAGACACTGGCAGAAACATTAAGACGAAATTGGAGTAGATATAAATATTGCCTTTCCAAGTCACTTCTGGGGAAGAAGGAAAACACAAAACCAACATGGGACAATTTTAGTCAACGAGGCTATCTTCAAAATTATCCTTCTAAGCTACTAAGATGGCTATAAGTTTTGCTTTGAAACAAATAAAGGTTACCTGGCTATACTAATACACTACTGTTCAAACAACAAACAAGGTGCAGCTATTTGTGGTCCCTTTTGCCTCTAGCACTTTGAGTTTCGGGCAAGGGTGAGGAGGTCCCCTCTCTCTTGTTCACTCTTGCTGCTGACTCGGGGCTCATTCATCCAAGTCCCATTAGTGCAGCTGTAGATTCATGCTCCTCGCTCACTCACAGGGCCTCACTCTAGCGATCAGAAGAAAGGAATGATGTGTGCTGTCTCTAGGCTCTGAGGAACTTGCAGACATTTTCACTAGGCCAATAACAGTAAGGGGCTTATTAAAGTAGAGAGGTGCCAACCAAAGGAGTGGGCATATCACCATGGCAACAAATGAATCCACTGAGAGCCACCACTATTATCTCTGAGGGGGAAAACTCCAGGCAACAAGGATTCATTGCTAATAAATCTCTATCTATAAAAGGCTAATACGCAAAGTGTCCCTTCGGGAGTTCGACCGGAAGAACAGGAGTTTGATCGCTCACTATGATGTGTGCCGACCACCAGGGGGTGGCGTGGAACATGGCAGGTGACCAGAGGTGGCAGCGGGGTGCTGAGGTAGTGCGGGAAGGAGGAGGTAGGGAGGTGGGGGAAGATGATCGGCCCTGATCACCGGCCAGGCCTAGGGACCCTTCCCGTGCATAATTTTCATGCACCGGGCCTCTGTAAATAAATAAATAAATGTGCCACATTTGATGGGAAAGGGACCTCCCCCACCACCCCGGGGCCTGGGGCTAAAGTCAAAGAGCATATGCGAGCTTCTGCTCACTTAAATCTTACTGGGGTGAGAAACTGGCACTATGACAGAACTGGATGCACTTTTAAAACTTTGGAAGGCAGAAAGGTTAAAGATAGACGTCTTGGCTGGACTAATAGAGCATGGCAGTCAGACTCAGAGCTCCCCCGTGTTGGGAATGGAACCCCGAGACATTCGGCATCCCCTGACCCTTGCCGGAACAGAAGAGGTGAGTCCAATAAAGCAGGAAAGGAAATTTGGGAGCAGTGCTTTGCTATGTGACCATACTGCTGTCACTTGCCAAGTAGTTAAATAAAATTAGTAAATTGTACTACTGCCAGTCATCCTTTGATAGAGTTAATTAATAAAATGGTAGCTACCCGAACAAACATGAGAGGGTTTTTAAACATATTTGGTGTCTTATTTTCAAAGTTTTAGTATTTTATTCATTGGATAGGTCAACAAAAGTTTGATGTTCTCCTGCATGGGGAGGGGTCAGAATATAAGCAGAGATGAGGTTTTCTCACTTGTTAAACTTTAAACCTAGTGAACCTACTTCCAAAATTAATTCCATATTCATATGACCATAAGCCTATAGAAATGTAAATCAGACAATGTTTTGATAATCAGCTAAACAGGACTTAATTTACTACAGGAATAAATGCACTTTACCATCCTTTTTATATTTCCTTCACTAAAATATGTTAATTGTGAAGAAATATAGTACCTTCACAGGATTACCAGTCTATTAATAGAGGCTTAATCATGGAAGAAAGCCTTATGTCTAAAGATTATGCATCATCTGGGTTATTTTGTTTGTTTTGGGTTGATTTTTATGGGCTTTTTTGGTTTTCAATGGCAAGACAGCTGAATGGCGTACCGTTTACAAACACAACAAATTTTCTGAATAGCAGCTGCTCAGTTTAACTTATTCTTTTGAAGGGAAACAATATTCTAAAAAGATACATGGATGTTGGAAAAATTTAAGGAAAAGCTGATAGACACCAATTTTTCAATTTAGATTCAAAAGAGAACATTTCAAATAGTAGTCAGCAGCAGGGGCTTGACACCGATGTATACTAAGCACTGTTATAATACCACCCAATTCCCAAGGATCATAAATAAAAGCCTATTATAAACATAGCTCCTGGTATTTCTCTGTTCATACACACAAAGCATTCTTTACAAGGAGTCTGTGGCTTGATACTGCCACCATTTCCTCTAGGGCTCCCATCTATGCAAACTCATACATTTCTCTGCATGTTCTCTGATGTTATAACTAGAACCAGAGCCCCACCAGTTGAGTTGCAGGTTTTGAGAAAATCTCAGTGGCCATCATGGCAGGGCTAGGGTTCATGAGTACAAGTTATACTGCCTCCAAGGGACCAGTTTGAAGACTGATGACAATGGTGTCAAGGTCACTTTAGCTTCTGCGACTTCCAACAGTGCTTTCATTTGTTTCAAGTTTATTATTTGCTGTCACGTAGTTTGCTAATGGCCACCAGCAAGATAACGGTGACTCTTCAATTTACACTATTATGTGAAGAACTTAGACTTCTCCGCCTGCCTGAGAGGTCGGAGCTTGCTAAATCATCAGACCTACTTTCAAACACGTGCAATGCTCTTTAAAAAGCAGGAGCGAGCACAGGGACCTGAAATCTTTATATGTGGTTAATTTTCTACCATGGTTTCTTTAACAACATGACTTTAGATATAAAGGAGGAAAAGACAAGTAAATGCAAATACATACAGTGTGACTCAGATTTAAGCTATAAGCACCCCCATCAATAGTCTAGAGGCCCTAAGACCATAACAGTGGCCAAACACTTATTCCAAAGGCCAGATGTATGCCCTTTAAAAGTGGGCTGGAAACAACAGAAAAACACTGGGTGGGATGAGTGGCAGCGTAGGTAAACGTTACACTCACCTCTTCCCAGGACCGAACTGGAATTTCAACTAAAATATAGAACATTCAACCTGAATAACCAATTGCAGACTACCTAAACAGATTTCTTATAACCAAGGATTTATGAAGAAGCCGCCGTGACTCTGGAAGGAAGGGCTGGCCCCAGCACCCACATGCAGTGTCTGAGAATCCATAGGGATATCTCAGCTACGAAGATCCCTTCTTAAAAGCGAGGGGTCTCAGCCCCATGCCAAGCTACCCAGCCCAGAGCACCAGAGCTGGGAAGAGGAGCCCACATAATGTCTGGCTGTGAAAATAAGCAGGGATCTGTCTTCCAGGGAGAGACAGGAGATAGGGATCTGCTAGAAATCCAGGTGCCCTCTTAAAGAGCCAGCACCCAATCTTTTCTGTGGCCATTTGCCCTGAGCTTAGACAGAGGGAGGGTGGCTTGGAGTGGACTAGTGAGAAGAGACTGGATTGTGTGGCTTCTCTCTGGCATCTGGGACCCGGGCTTCCCTCCAGCTGCTGGCAGGCACCCGGGACCCGGGCTTCACCTCGGAGCCCTGCTTCGTCCGGAAGGACTTCTGGTCTAATTAGCATATTACACTTTTATTATTCTAGATAATGAACTATTAGTAAAAGAGAAGGATCTCTTACCCATTGAAATAGCAAGGAGGGATTTGGAGAGCATTATGCTAAGCAAAATAAGCCAGTCAGGGAAAGACAAGTACCACTGATTTCACTCATAAGTGGGATCTAATGAACAAAATAAACCAATGAACAAAATTGATCCAAAGACATAGAAGCATGGAAAAGACAGTGGAATCTCAGAGGGAAGGTAGGGGAGGGTCGGTGGGTGGGAAGAGATCAACCAAAGAATGTGTATGTACATAAGCATAAACCATGGACACAGACAATAGGGTAGTGAAGGCTTGGGGTGGGGGGCAGGGGTGGGCTAGAAAGGTCAAAAGGGGGAAAAAGGGGACATATGTAATACTTTCAACAATAAAGATTAAAAATAAAGGGAAACTAAAACACAATCCATATGCAATTGCATAAAAAAAACACCCACAAAAATACCTAGGAATAAATTTAACCAAGGAGATAAAAGACCTGCACTCAGAAAATAATAAGACACTGAAGAAAAAAACTGTAGAAGATACATGTAAATGGAAGCATATACCATGTTCATGAATAGGAAGAATGAGCACCTTTAAAATGTACATACTACCCAAAGCAATCTATAGATGCAATGCAATTCCCATCTAGATAACAATGGTGTATTTTACAGAAATAGAACAATAATCCAAAATTTTATATGGAGCCACAAAAGACCCCGAATAGTCACAGCAATCTCAAGAAAAAAAGAACAAGGATGGAAGTATCACACTATCTGATATCAAACTACACTACAAAGTTATAGTAATCAAAACAGCATGGTACTGGCATAAAAACAGACATGTAGATAAATGGAAGAGAATAGAAAGCCCAGAAATAAATCCACACCTACATGGTCAATTAATATTTGACAAAGCAGAGAAGGTCATATAATGGGGTAAAGACAGTCTATTCAATAAATAGTGTTGGGTAATTTGGACAGATAAATACAAAAAATGAAACTAAACCTTCTTACACCATATACAAGTATAAACTCAAAATTGATTATTAACTTAAATGTAAGATTCAAAACCATAAAACTCCTAGAAGAAAACATTAGGCAGTAAAATGTGGAACATTTCCCTTAGTAATATATTTTTTTTATAGAGCATCTCAAGCAAGTGTAACAAAAGAAAAAATAAACAAATTGGAGTACATCAAACTAAAATGTTTTAGCACAGCAAAGAAGAACATCAACAAAATAAAAAGACAACCCACTGATGGGAAAACATTACTTGACAATAATATAAGGGATTAATATTCAAAATTTATAAAAAACTTACACAACTCATGCCAGGGTAGCAGGCTCGATCCCTGGTAGGGGGTGTGCAGGAAGCAGCCAAACAGTGTTTCACTCTCACATTGATGTGTGTGTGTGTGTGTGTGTGTCTCTCTCTCCCCCTTCCTTCCCCTCTCTCTAAAATAAATAATAATTCAATTAATAAAAATCTTGTAAACATTTTTTACAAATTAAAACTTATACAACTCAACATCTATAAACAAACAATCCAATTAAAAAATGGACAGGGGACCTCAATGTCTCCAAAGCAGACATACAGATGGCCAATAGACATATGAAAAGATGCTTAACATCACTAATCATCCAAGAAATGCAAGTTAAAACCACAATGAGATATCACCTCACACCTGTCAGAATGGCTACCATCAATAAATCAACAAACAGCAAGTGTTGGTGAGGATGTATAGAAAAAGGAACCTTATGCACTTTTGGTGGGAATGTAGATTGGTGTAGCCACTATGGAAAACAGTATGGCATTTCTTTGAGAAATTAAAAATGGAACTGCCTCATGACTCAATAATTCCACTTTTGGGTATACCGAAGAAGCCCAAAACATAATTCAACGAATATATTTACCTCTATGTTCATTGCAGCATTACTTACAATAGCTAAGCTATGGAAACAACCCAAGTGCCAATCAACAGATGAATGGATTAAAAAGTGGTGGAATATTTCTCAGCCATAAAAAAGAATTAAATCTTGCAATTTGTGACAACACAGATGGACCTACAGGGTATTATGCTAAGTGAACTAAGTCAGAAAAGTACAAATACTGTATCATTTCACTTATATGTGGAATCTAAAGAATATAAATGAACATACAACAGAAGCAAACTCATAGATATCGAGAACAGACTGATGGCTTCCAGAAGGGAAGAAGGAGGGGGAGTGGGTGAAAAAGGTGAAGGTACTGAGAAGTACAGGTTGGTTACAAAATAGTCATGGGGATGCAAATTAAACCATAGAAAATGTAGTCAATAACACTGTAATAACTATGTATGGTGCCAAGTTGTACTGAAAATATTGGGGAAAACACTTTGTAATGTATATGATTTTCTAACCACCATGCTGTACACCTGAGACTAATACAAAATAATACTGAATGAAAAGTCTTATTGAAACAAATAAATAATAATAAAGAGGGGAGGGGGGGAAGGACTGGAACTGGTAGCTAGACTGCTTTAAGAAAGCCATGAATATATTTAAAGTACTGTTGTTCTCAGACGTGAGTTTGTATAATGGTTGCCAATAACCACCAGAGAAATACATTTAAAATTATCACAGATTATTATAACAATAATACATGAAGACCTAATAGTTAATGAGGAGGAATATAAATTGTTACAGCAAATGTAGATCAAAAATGTATGTAATTTTATGCCTACTTGAGTTCTCTGCATAATGTAACCTTTAAAAATATTTTTTAATATGTAAACTTTATTGGAGCAAATAAGTTATTGGAAAATGGTAAGAAAGTTCACAAAAACCTTGCTAACTCACATGTCCTTGACTGTAATGCCCTTGAAGATGTGGCAGAAGTCTGCATTCCTTATAGCCTGATCATGCAAATACTTGCAGGAAAGAAGAATAGCTCCCAAAATAATTCTTTTCCAGTTAGTGGGGCAAATGTCGATCTCAGCATAAATTAAAAGTCTTTCTAAGTAAACCTGCAAAAGTAGAACACTGGTCTTTGGTTTTATTTCAGGGTTTAAGTGCTATAGTAAGAACTTAAACTTTCACCTGTTTTTGACATGCCTTTTATTCTTGGGTTCTATGAGACTGCTTGGCCAGCCAGAGCCAGAGACCAAGTTACAGTTGCAGATGAGATACTTCTGTTGCCTATTTTGCCATGTGAATTTCCAGTCCAATTTTTGGTCACAGGAATGAATGGACATCTTAGCAAAGGACTTCCTGAAGAAACGTTACTACCTTTCCGCTTGTAAAGGGCCCAGTGTAGATACTCAAGTGCCTACCACGTGCACTGTTTCATACCTGGCTGGTAGTTATATGGTGATTTTACATAGTACTTGTATATGGAAATCCCTGGTAATACTGACCCCATTTGTATCTTCTTTACATATTAACTAGTCCTTTTGTGGCACAAGCTGAAGATAAACCCTGGTCATCAAGACAGCCCCCGAGTGGCTGCTGTGCGGTACAGCAGGACAGGCAGTCCAAACAGGTGTGCTTGAGGCAGGTCTTTACAACTGTCAAGTAATCCTGGACTTAGTGCCTTTGTAAGAAACACACATGCACACAGGGATAGCCCTTTTATATCCCCTAATCTTCACATCTCCATCATCATTTTATGAACTCCACCTCCATCTTACACAACCTGTTCCATTGGTTTCAGGTGGTAGCAGAGCTGCCAGTCTCTGTCTCCCTGGCTCTCCAGGTAGCTGGTGAAGTTTCATGAATTCCTCACATGTATTACATGTCTATTCTACAAAGAACTGGGTAAAGTTAACAGCTAAAAACAGATTTTAGAGGCAAGCTGGGATTTGTTATTTCAAAGGGTGCTTTACAGAAGAGTATGCATGCCATTTTACAACAAGAAAAATGTCCAATTTTAAAGAGTATATTTACTGTCGGAGGTTATCAGATTGACAGCTCTGATTTGCTATTGCTCTTCAAACTCAACTGTATTTTAAAAAAACAAATGGTTATTGAACATTATGCATTCTTAGTGAAAATTTCCACCAACCCTCCCCCCGCAAAACTCAGTGCTCTCAGATATCCTAAGAATGAACCTCCTTACAAAGTTCAACTGTCTACTTTATGGGATTAATTAGAGGCACTTGGCAATCTCTCAACTTCCCGTAACTTTACCGCAGACGTGGTATGTGCCAATACTCATTCATTTATACCACTTGCCCTCCTGTGACAGTGGAATTGAGATTTCTCTTCTCACTGAAACTCTTCTAGCAGTGAAGTCAATCCCATCCCACTTCTGAAGAACACCTCCCACAATTACCTCTTTTTGAAGAACCCTTGCCAGAGATTCTCCCCAATATGTGTTTACGTGCTTCCCATGCCCCCCAACCCCTAGAAAGCTTCCTCTCCTTTTGCTCACAGTGATTGCCGATGCTGCTTCTCATGTCTCATTCTCTCCTTAACCCACTGCGGTCTGCCTGGCACTGTCACTCTCCCGAAAGCACAATGCTAAGGTCATTAGTGCCTTTGCCCATACAAATCAGAGCTCTTTACCCAGTTCCACTCCCCAAGCATTCCCTAATGTCATAAAGGGCACACCATTGCCTAAGTGCTTGGCCAAAACCTTCAATTGAGTTAACCTGCTCCAATCTGTTAGCAATTCTTGTAATCAGACCACTTTCTATTTGTCACTTCTCACCTGTATCACTGGCTTCTCGGCCCCCACTCGGCCTCCCAGTTACTATCTATTCTCCCCAAAGCAGCCAGGAGAGCCTCTTTAATTAAGAGCACTTCACTACCCTACTAAATACCTGCCAAAGGTTTCCCATCAAACAAATGAAAATGTACCTTATTCCCATGACCTGGAAGCTACAAAGCCCTATGAGATAGGACATTGATCCTCTATGCTCTCATGTCCTACATGCTTTCCCTCATTCCACACACTGACCACACTGGCCATACCTCACTGTTCCTTGAATACACAAAACCTTCCTATCTCCGAATCCGGCACTTGTCCCCTTTGTCTATCACACCAGAGCTCATCTGTCTCAGTTCAGTCATGTCAGGGTTCAAATGTTATCTTTTAAAGAGGCTCTTCCTGATCATTCTATCTAGAGTTTCAAGCCCCTGTCATCACTTTATCACTTCACCCTGCTCTACCTTCTTGGTATTTACTACTACCTGAAATATTCATCTTTTTAACAAAACTCATTTAAAGAAATATGTATGTCTTCCTTATAAGAATATAAGCTCCACAAAAGCAAAAAACTTTATTCAACCTCGTTTCCCCTCTATCCTCAGCACTTAGATCTGTAAGGACTATCAGCACTGAAGGAAGAAGTCCCCAGAAATGGCTTAGAGTGGTGGCAAAACCAGGAGAAAATAATAAAAAAGGCAAGATAGGTGAGGTCAAGAGAGTGTGGTCAAAATGCTGCAAGAAGTTGCTCATTCCATAAATAGCCACTGAATATCTAACTCTTTGCCACTATTCTCTCTTCTATACACTTTTCATTTATAGTCTTCCTCTGCACTGGAACAGCTCATCTTAATTTCCTACTGTAGCTCAGGTTCATGCTAATTCCATATATTCAAACCATTCTAGAGACTGCCCCTCAGCTGTCTCGCAGGTGCATCAAACTTAACTCGCCTACAAGGACTCACCCTCTTCCACCCAGGCGCCCTCCTTCCTGTGTTACCTAGCTCTTCCTATGAGAGCACCACTCCTGCCTCTCCCCAGCATGCGCTCAGCACTCCACATGGCTGGCAGCTCCATGGAAAGGCCTGTGTCTGGTCCCGTGCCCACTGAGGGTCTCTATTCAGAAGCACAGGCTGCCTCTCCAAAATGTGAACTGAGGGAGGAGGCACTGACCTAAGTACTCTTCCCTCCAGACCATGCAGGAGACTTTCCCCTTTAGGACTGCCCGAGGGAGGACTGATACAATCCCATTCCTTCTCACTAGAATGGACCACTCATTCCAACTGATAAAATCTTACCTTAGGAATTCTGTATGAATGATGCAATGGTTCTTATACAGCTGTAGCTGAGCAGGCAACTAGCAAAGCCCTTTTAGATCTTACTGGCACTAGAATCCTGGGTAACGTCACAGGCAGGCACAAGAGGACAGCAAGGACGGATGAACACCCATCATCCAAGGAACAGAGAATTTAGGGCTCTAGTTCTCAACCAGGACACACATTACAACTGCCTGGGGAATCCAGCCTGCAACTCAGCTTAGACCTACACTGAACCTGTCACTGCCTGGGGCCCAGAGGGTCTGCTATGGCCCCCATCCTACGCCACAGCACGCCTTGTATGTGTGCCTGCGTGTGCACTGCATGCGCATGTGTCTCCTGAGGTGTGGAGGAAGAAACCGGGCGCACACACAACCAGCAAAGCCCTTTCAGGTCCTACTGGCACTAGAATCCAGGAAACATCACAGGCAGGCACAAGAGGACAGCAAGGACGGATGAACACCCATCATCCAAGGAACAGAGAATTTAGGGCTCTAGTTCTCAACCAGGACACACATTACAACTGCCTGGGGAATCCAGCCTGCAACTCAGCTTAGACCTACACTGAACCTGTCACTGCCTGGGGCCCAGAGGGTCTGCTATGGCCCCCATCCTACGCCACAGCACGCCTTGTATGTGTGCCTGCGTGTGCACTGCATGCGCATGTGTCTCCTGAGGTGTGGAGGAAGAAACCGGGCATCTCTCCTGCTGCCTTTAAAAGCAACTGTGTTGTGATGAGAAAAGCAAGGACATGTTAAATCATGATTATTAAGCTCAAATGTGTGTATTTTACTTCCTTTGATAATTTTCCCTTAATTAAGTTCTGATGATCATTTCAGGAACCTACTTTTACTAGTATTTGAAAAACAAGATCATACCCTGTGGACACAACAGAAAAAATGCTTTCTGAAAGAACTATCTTACCAAAGTTGTTATTGCCCATTCAGCTGTTAGCTTTGTGGTACTGAAAAAAGGGTGAATAAATCTGTAAATACTCTCGGAATCAGGATTATGATTAAAGTATTCCTCTGGAACTATTTCATGCTGAAAGGAGAAAAAACGCAAAGTAAGTATCCACTGAAGAAAAACACTGAAGTACTTTTGTGATAGCTTGTGCCCACATGCCCCTGATATCATAGTCTGTTTGTGCCCACATGCTACTTAGGATAATTTTGATTGGGCGACATGTCTTGTAGTCTTTTCCTACAATGAGGCCTTAAAAAACAACAGTGAGCCCTAGCCGGTTTGGCTCAGTGGATGAAGCATTGGCCTGCAGACTGAAGGGTCCCAGGTTCGATTCTGGTCAAGGGCACATGCCTGGGTTGCGGGCTCAATTCCCGGGCGGGGGGCGTGCAGAAAGCAGCTGATCAATGATTCTCTCTCATCATTAATGTTTCTATCTCTGTCTCCCTCTCCCTTTCTCTCTGAAATCAATATGTGTATTGATTTCAATACCAATAGTGATTCAATACCAACACTCATTAAAGATAAATACAGGCACACCCTCAGAGAATTGATACGTTCCTTTCCACCTTCCTTCTACAGAATTCTACCTAAACATAAACCATCTTTAGGTTCAAAAGTCTTGTTGATCACCATGTCATATTTCTGCAATCAACTCTGAAAATGTATTTTCAGTTTCCTGTAATCATCAGGCTCTAAGGCCGTGCCGTGCTGTACAGTGGTCACCAGCCATATAGACCAGTGGTTCTCAACCTTCCTAATGCCGCAACCCTTTAATACAGTTCCTCATGTTGTGGAGACCCTTAATTTCATTGTTACAAATTGAACGTAATTAAATCATAGTGATTAATCACAAAAACAATATGTAATTATATATGTGTTTTCCAATGGTCTTTGGCGACTCCGTGAAAGGGTCGTTCGACCCCCAAAGGGGTCGCGACCCACAGGTTGAGAACCGCTGCTATAGAGCATCTGAAGAAGTGAATTTGAAATTCTTTTGTCATTCTAATTAAGCCAAAGTTTAAATAGCTGTTTAATTTTCTTCATAGAGATCTTAAAATATCTGTTAGGTTTATTTACAAATATTCATATTGTTTGATGTTAATGAAAATTATCTTTTAAAAAGATACTTTTTTGGGAGGAGCATGTTGACTTACTTTAGCTTACTAGTTATACAAAGCTACAACACAGTTCTTGATGACATATTTCTTTTTTTATATTTTATTGATTTTTTACAGAGAGGAAGGAAGAGGGATAGAGAGCCAGAAACATCGATGAGAGAGAAACATCGATCAGCTGCCTCCTGCACACTCCCCACTGGGGATGTGCCCGCAACCAAGGTACATGCCCTTGACCGGAATCGAACCTGGGACTCTTGAGTCCGCAGGCCGACACTCTATCCACTGAGCCAAACCAGTCAGGGCGACATATTTCTTATATATTTGTTTTGTAAAATCATTAGATGCAACATGGGGTGTGGAAGAAAACTTAAAAGAAGATAATTTTGACTTCAAGCTGGAGGGAGTAATTTTCTTCTAGTGATTAATTTCAAAGCAAATCAGCATAAAATAAACACAATTGTAAGAGAGAGAAATATAACTTCAATACAACTAGCACTTACTGTGAATGGATGTAACCTTTCATCAAAAATGTCCTCAGATCTATTTGCATCTCTAAAAAATAAGAAAGTGATTTAAGAAACTAATCCAGGAATTGTTAATATCTTAGTAACACATCTCCTGGGAGTAGAGAGAGGGGTGGAGGGAGAAGCTTAACCTTCAACAAAGTCCTTCTACAAGTTCTTCTCTTAGGTTCTGTAAGAATTTTTTCACCTCTTTTTACTCAGCACATCAGTTCTGTGAAATTTTTTCTATAATGACCAGCCAGAGTTGGCTTTATAAGCATTGACCTTCCCTAATAGGCAATGCTAGACAACCAAAACAATTGCCCACTCCTCTAAGCTCACGTCGGAAGACACAGGAACATTTTATAAAGCAGGAGGGGTGGGCAACCGTTCATGTGAATATGAGATTCATTTTTTTCTGTGTTTTTTTCTCTTTTTAGTTTCCTATATTATTATGTATTTCTTCTTGCCACTTTTAAGTAGACTGAGTTAAAAATTTGCCTTTTTATTTTAAAAGTGACCAGACCATTGATTTTAGAGAGGAGGGGAGAGAGAGACAGAGAGGAAGAAAGGAAGAGGAAGAAAGGGAGAGGAAGAAAGGAAGGAGAGGAAGAAAGGGAGAAAAAAGGGAGAGGAGAGGGGTGGGAAGGGAGAGAAGAAGGGGGAGGGGGAGGGGGAGGGAGAGGGAGAAACATTGGTTGGCTGCCTCCTACAAGCATCCAACTGGGGATCTAACCTGCCACCTTTTGATGTATGGCCCTGACCAGTAATCAAACACTCCTGCCACTTTTTGGTATATGGGATGATGCTCCCAACCAACTGAAGCCACACAGGCCAAGGCAACCAGTCTTCTTCTTCTTTTAAGTTTAATTTTCCACACTAACATATTCTGCTCATTTAAACAGTGGTTCTCCAAGTGTGTTTTGCAGGCCTGTGGGGTTCTATTAGACCAGTGGTCGGCAAACTGCGGCTCTTTGGCCCCTTGAGTGTGGCTCTTCCTAAGCCTTAGGAGTACCCTAATTAAGTTAGTAACAATGTACCTACCTATATAGTTTAAGTTTAAAAAATTTGGCTCTCAAAAGAAATTTCAATCGTTGTACTGTTGATATTTGGCTCTGTTGACTAATGAGTTTGCTGACCACTATCTTAGATCATTTCAGGAGACCCATGAGGCCAAACTATTTTTACAGAAATATTAAGGCATTGCCTCCATTTGCACTGACATTTGCAACCATTGTATAAAAGCAAAAGTCATGGTTTGTGAGAACGAATCAAGGCAGGGGTACTACACTGTACTAGTAGTCATTTTATTTTTCACTGCCTCTTGTTGAAACACAAATTCTGCTTTACTTAAGAACATCTTTGATAAAGCAGTAACAATTAGTAATGGCTGATTCTTCTTTTTCTATTCCGAATAAGGGGAAAGTATACATTAAGCACTTCTGCATACTGAAATGTGCTTGTTAGGTAAAAGCACTTGTGACTTAGTTGTGAGCTGAGCGAGCTACTTTTTTTCATTGAATAACATCTTTATTTGATAGTACAACTGTCATTCTCTCAAAACTGAACAGTGAGCCTGTCACTTCAAGGAAAATAACTTGTGTTATTTGTTGCCAATGACACAATTCAAGCTATCAAGCTAAAAATCAATATTAGGGGGAAATTGTACCTATTTTTGTGAGCTTGACAGCTTTTCAATATTTAGGCTTTTCTGGTAAAACTGGTGTTGATATGATGCTGACTAACAAAAGTGAGCTTTAATACTGTATAAAGAAATGTGAACCAATACTTTCCAAATAACCAATGAATAATATTATAAATTATATACAAGTAAAAAGATTCATTCAGTGTAAAAGATATATGAATGAGTATTAATTTAACAGAGACCTACTACAAGTTTATAAATATGATTTAAAATCCCACTGTAACTAATTTAACAAACCAGCACTTGTGGACTTCTAGTACAGTATCAAAGAATATCCATAATTATCTGAAGACTTTAAAAACACACCCTTTTCTAGCTATAGAGCAACATGAGGCTGGGCCTTCACACTGTTTCTTCAAAACGAATTATTGAGATGATTGAAGTAATCACAGAGGATTGAAGACGGGGTGTACATGAGAATCAGCTGTTCTATTAAATCAGACATAAAGAGATTTGCAAAAATATATATAAGTGACAATTTCCACTCAACTTTTTGTTGTGGAAAATAATTATCTTTTATAAAGAGTTACGTTAATGCTATGGCTCCCTAGTGCAGTGATGGCGAACCTATGACACGCGTGTCAGAGGTGACACGCGAACTCATTTTTTTGGTTGATTTTTCTTTGTTAAATGGCATTTAAATATATAAAATAAATATCAAAAATATGTCTTTGTTTTACCATGGTTGCAAATATCAAAAAATTTCTATATGTGACATGGCACCAAAGTTAAGTTAGGGATTTTCAAAATGCTGACACGCCGAGCTCAAAAGGTGTGCCATCACTGCTCTAGTGGGTGAATTTGGGTCCCAGGGAAACATCTGGCCATGGCTGGAGGCATTTTTTGTTTTAGAATATGGCCTGGGAAGAGTGTGCTATTGGCATCTAGTGAGAAGAGGCCAGGGATGCTGCTAAGCATCCTGTAACGCACAAGGCAGCCCCCTACAGCAAAGAATTATCCTGCTTAAAATTTCAACAGTGCT